AAGTAGCGTTTTCTTAGGCATGTTTGATATTTGACTCTTCCCATTGGGTTCAGGAGCTCTGTGAACTGTCAGCTTGAATTCCTCCCAAAAGTGGAATAACAGAAGTTTACAGTTTTACAGCACTGCATGTTGAATACCAGCCTTGGATTCCTCCCAGGCAATCACATACAGCAAATAACAAGTAAATAATGTGTGGTGAGTGTGTCCCCCTAAAATCTAAATGGTACCAAGTAGCCAACTGTTATTTCAGCATGGTTGGGAGGGATAGTGGTGATTGGAGGGGAATGTTGTAATTACACATGTTCACTCACACACAAATTTCAAAGGGTGAGGCTTTCCTCAATTTTCAGAGGACTCATATTTGAAAATTTTTACTTAGAAATTCAAAAATTTCAGCTGTTAATTTGGGAACCTGCAATTTCTAATAGTTTTGCAACCAACTCTTTTCAGCGATATCTGATTATACTCAGAGCAAATATTCACTCCATTTAAGTCAATGTAGCTTAGTTAGCTAACCCGAATCATTGCTTGTATAGGAAGCCTGGCAAGACCAAGGTCACAGGTTTGTGATCTGAACATCCTGCAGTTTGGCATCACTGTTTTGCTTTGAAACTAGAGGTATTGTGTTGTATCATGACTAGCTAGCAGGTAATACAGCATTGCTCAGCACCTGCATTTTATCAGACACAAATAGGGATAATTGTTCCTACAGTTAGTGTTATAAAGTATTAATTAATGCTTTTATACTACTGAGAAAAAAGGATTTTCTTACCATTGCTATACTATTGATTGATTGGCTATAGGGTCCAAGCATTCTCTTAAAGTTTTTTTTTTTGGTATTTATTTAAAGAAATTTATAAATAAAACTTTAGTGTGAATCTGGTATCAGGATGTTGGCAGGTCTGCCAACCACTTAAAGCTCTAAGAGTTGACAAAAATGAATTAATGCATATTAAATGATTGGATCTAAAAGTGATTCTACTCCAGTTACACTCCATAAGTGATTGGAGTAAAAGGTTTTACAGAAATCTTAACATTTATAGTAACAACACCCCAGCCCATATCTCAAATTAATTAACCTTAGGGAGATGCATTTCAGTCTCACCCATTTAGTCCATCAGTCTGTGTGTGTTTCCAGGCTTTTGAGTGTTAAACTGTGGGAGTTCAGGCCTTCTTACACTGAAGTAAGGGAATATCTTCATTGATTCAGTGGTAAAGGCATTGAATATCAGGTATGTTATATGACATAAAATATCTACTTACCTGGTAATCGGTTATGGCAAATGAATTAGCTGGAATGTGTTTAAATTCCACTCATATTTTGTCAAAGACAGACAGCTGTGTAACAGCTACGTTTTGGGCAATTTTTTGGGCACGCAACTTTGGCAAGAAAATTTGCAGCCCTGTTAGAGGAGCTCAGGTGAACAGTCCAGCTATGTTTGGGTCTCTCTCTACAAACTGTTTCCAGTCCTTGCCTGCTCTGCCTTTGTCTGCACCCTGCTGATTCTTGTTTCATGAAGCAGAGAAGTACTGTTAGGAGGAGCATATCTTTCACAAGCAGCACTGGATGTATTTTTCACATTGTGAACATGTTCTGGTGCACCCCAAATCTACTGGTGAAGCATTAGCACCTCTGTTTCATGGCCAGCTAGCATTTAAAGCTCTATCTAGGCACATAGAGTTTTTATTAGTTTAAAAAGTTGTAGTATGTATATATATATGTATATATATAGCTGTTAGACATGGTAACATCACTGCTTTGAAATGCAGCTGGACAATCATAACTTTTAAACCAAAAAATAGAAACAACCCATGCTAATGGCCTTTCAGTGATGCAGGTGTGATCCATGTGTTTGGTCTGAGTGTTGGCATTGCAGATGTGAGTTCAGGGCCCTCCCCACGGTGCCCTCACGGAGGCAGAGCCAGGGGGATCCTGCTGGGTACTGCAGTGGCTCCAGTGCTCAGGGGGTTGATCCAGGTGGTCAGCACAGCCTGGTGAAAGCCAGTGAGGGGGGGGGCACTGCCCCTGCAGCACTGCTGGACCCCCGCAGCAGGGAGCTGCAAGATTCTCCTACAAAACTCACCTCCTTCTGACTGCTTGGCTTGAGCACTCTGTTTCATAAACACCCACCACCACCACCACCTATAACTGGACAAATTTATTTTTAAAGTATGTAAGAACGAATATTTTTTTAGCTAGATATTTTTTGTTAAAGCCACACTAACTACTGTATTTTTACCTTTTATATGTAAAGCTTGGCAATAGCTCTCAATGTATAATTTATTTGTTGGGTTTTTTATAAAATGAAATGCACCCTCTTGCTTCTGTTTCACAACACTGGTGATGTATGAAATGTCTTAGGCACTGCACTGAGAACTGTACTGAAACTGTACATGGGAACAAGTAGATTTGTAGTCCACTGAACCCAATCTTCAAATGTTTATACTGTAGTTTTGTCTTAAATATACCACATCAGTGCAAAAGTCTTGCAGAGTCATCTTTAAGCACCGCTGCATTACACTGTTATGGCAGTAAAAGGTGGGTCACCCAGGGCTGGGGACACAGGCTGTGCAGGGAGGGCCACTGGGCTGCTGCTGTAAACTTAATTTGTTGTCAGTTAAAGCATAACTTAAGGTGGCACCTAAACTTGCAGGCAGATGCTAAAGAATGAAATGCCTTTTTTCCGACAGAGCTGAGATTGGCCAGGAGGAATGTCAGGTGTCCTGGTTTTGAAAACCAAAGTACCAAGGCGTGCGCCCAGAGAGGAAGCTTGAGCTGCTGAGTGTGGTTCCACAGCATGCAGGCCAGTTAACTGAGCAAACCCACTTTTATCTCCAACAAGGGACTGGTTTGTGTTTGAAGTACAGTAGTGCTAATGACTGTTTAAAGGAAACTTTTTATTTCCAACCCCTGAATTTGGTGAAATACTTAAGAAGGCAGCAAAGGACAGCCAGACCATTTGATCATCTTCATTTCTCAACAATTAATAAAAGTATCAAAAGGAGGAGAAAAAAATTCCATCCGAATGACTAAGGTCATGGGAAGTAAGTTCCCTCGTGGCACATTTGGTTGTGTAGGTCAAACTGCAATCCCACTGATATGTCGCTGAATGGTTCTTTAAATTCACTTAAAATAATGAAATGTTTAGGGTTTTTCTATTATTAATTGGAAAAAAACTCTTTGAATATCTACATTTTAGAAGAAAATCCTTCTGCCATTCATGCATTTTAATGTTCAGAAACCAAATGTTAAAGATAATGAGTTTGTTGAGGTATTTAATGCTGATCGATTTGTTCTCTTAGATATGTAATTTATGATACAATAGCACATCTTGTGTCTCAGATGAGATTACCAAGAATGCTGCATCCTTTTGCTTTTATTCCATGGATTGAATTACTGTGGGCATATTAGATATGTGCAAGCTTCTCTGTTTTTCAGAGACATTCTAAAACAATCAAGCTTCAGTGGCAGCCCCTTCAGTCCATGCCCAACCAAAAATGGTGTGTTCTGTTTTGTTTCTAGATATTTGTCGCTAGCTAGAGTAACTCCATTCATTATTTCATGCAGGCCACCACCGAGCTTTCAGATGGCAGCAGCTTGTAGTCACTTGCTTGGGCCTGGGATGAATTCTCATTAACTGCTACAGTTACGGAGAAATATCAGCAGCACATGCATGAAGGTTCTTCTCTTCCTCTCTGAAAAGGTGACTGTGGTGTGCAAACAGGAGTGAAACCACCTGAGGTGCTCTGAGAGCCCTGTTGGTGTAGCTGATGGCACTGGCTGAGTTTTGAAAGGGGAAATGACCCAGGAAATGTCATACAGTAGTATGAGCAAGGATTGTGTGCCTAGGTCCTGATACAGGTTTTTCGGAGAGAACCTGAAATATGGGTCATGCATGCTGAGAAGGAACTGAGATGTCAGGCACTCTTGTGGGCAGATGTGGGATGCAGTCACTTAAAATCTCAAACCCCTTCCCTTCCAGCTTGAGGTCACCCTCGTTTTTTAAAGACATGGGAACAGGCCAGCAAGGGGAGAAAGAGCCTCCAGTGGCTTCAGCAAAGCTGCTGTAGCAGAGCACCCCACTTCCAGGATCAGAGCTCTCTTCCCTTCCACAGCACTACTGGGACCAAATGTGGCTCGTCCTCCCACAAGCAAACCCTGTGGCTGTGCCTGAGCCCACATCTCTCCAGGCACAGCCCCTCCCTGAGCCCCTGTGCAGAGGCAGGAACAGAAGGGCCCTTACAGCATCAGGTCAGCCTGAGAGGTTTGGGATCTCCGGTAAAGAAGTGGTGCCCAAGGTGCTGGTGCAGCCACCTGACTTGGCACACAGGCAGAGGCCAGGGGAGGAGATGGGGAGATGGGCACACTCTGCAAGCTGCTTTTTCCTCCCCGTGCCAAGCCATTGCCTTTGGGCTGGCTCGTGTCCCGCCTGCGTTGGCTCTGAGTAAATGTTAAACCCTTCGTGGGGCTGCCAAAGGGAAGAGAGTTTGAGGGGGGAGGAAGAAAGGAGTGACAGAGGCTGGATGGCATTTTCCTGGGGCTCTTGCACATCCCCAGGATACCTCTACCTGCTGGGAGGCCTTCATGTGACTTGGAAGAGTCACTGGTTTATTGTTGCCCTTTCCAGTTAAATTTCCTTTCCTTGTCAATCCTTGAGAAAAGCCTGTATGTTATGGCAGCTCTCAGGATAATGCCAAAACAGACATGTCAGCCAACAAAAGGAAAACAAGCTGCTGATCTAAGATTGCAGTGCTCAGTACATGCTCAGCTCAGTTGCTGTACTGAAGTCCTTTCCGAACAAACCTCCTCAAACTGGGAAATTCTTGTTCTTGGAGCAGAAATTCAAATCCTGGGCAACCCTCGAGGCTGGCTGAAGTGCTAGGAGATGACTGGGGCTTGTGGGATCATGTTCCTTGTTCAGAAAGGTAAGTTCTTTATTCAGTTTGAAAATACAAATACATATTTTAGATTTGTGAAAGTGGAGAAAACAAGCACATGCTGATAGGAAACAGAGCAGGCTTTATTTAAGTGGAAGAGTACAATCCTCTCTGTTTCCAAACAAGGGTCACGAATGGTCCAAATAACTCTTGTAGCTTTTTGCGAATTCATCTATAATTTTCCCATTGAATTCATGTGACAGCTACTTGTGAAGAGATGATGAAAAGTATCTGTAAACATTCTCACTTGAAATCCTTTATTCCTATGAAACTTTCAAAAAGCAATCTTTTCAAATATTCCGAAGTATTACACTTTCTAGTCGTTTCAGACAGCAGCATTTCTTACAGATGGCTGAAGTTCTGTCAGAAGGCCATATCTTAATAACTTCTATGGAAATAAATGCTTGGAACACTGGACAATATTATCTTTCAAAAAAACCACTTTTTCTTTTCAGCAAAGAAAAATTATACATGAACTCAAGATTTACTCAGATAGAGGGGAAATGTGTAATGATCACTACCTGAGTTGACAAAACAGAGAGATGGGAGTTGGAAAAGCAGAAATCCCTTTGTGGCTAAAACAGGAGTTACCAGTCAGAACAGCCCATGCTTTGTGCCACTCCTGTCAAACCCTCCTCTTTCTGTCCCCCCCACCCCGTTATGGTAAGTCAAACCCTTTTGATCCTGTGCTCAGTCATTAAAGCCAACACTCACTTGGCAATTCCTTTGTTCTTCCAGATATAATGTACTTCCTCTGGTCTAAGGCTGCAGATGATTTTCAGGGGGCACTCATGGTTTATATACAATCCTTTAATATCTTCTAGATTTCACTCGCTAACTTGTTTATTTGGTTTCTGTGGTGTTGTAAGGCTATCTCTTGTTGCAAATATATTGTGCAAATAACACTCAAGAAAACAAAATCTTAAAAAGCTTAGAGAATGTTGCCATTAAGATTGATCAAATCCCTCAAATGTGACCGTATTTCCCTTTAATGCAAGTGCAAAATGAGCAAGCTTTGACCCTGAAATGGCAGCTGTGGAGCCAGTAGGGGTTACTTGTAGTTCTGATTTTCAAGGCAGCATCAGCCACTGCAATTTGAAAGGATATGAACTGACCAGAAGAAAAGTAACAAAAAGAGCAGCATTCCAACAAGCTCTTCTCAGAAATCACAACTTACATGCAAGTTGTGACTTAAATATATGTTGGGTTTCGTTAACATTGTAAAAAATCTGTTCACAGCAAGTATGAGAAGGTTTAATTATTTTTTTCCCAAGCATGCTGATAGGAAGCTGAAGACAGTTGCAAGCAGTTGGTTTTCCACCTACTGCCACGGTGGTGGAAATTTATTCTTTCACTTTGTAATCAAAGCAATCACAAGCTATCGAACTCCATTTGTCTGAAGGAGATCTCAGCGAAGCTGGACAAGGGTTTGCCCCCGATGAGCAGCAGGGTGTTGGTGCGGCTGCCGAGTTCATCCCCGGCGGTCGCACACCCACAGTCACTTCCCTCCTCTTCACCCACAACCTGAGCGGCAGTCAGAGTCCCTCTCTCTGAAGAGGGAAACAGAGGGAGAGACTTGTCCTTCGTCAAAAGGCTTGTGTCTCTGTTTGGGTCCAGTTCTGCCTCTGAGGTGGTCTGAAATGCACGGAAGCCCACTGGCTCCAGAGGCAAGCTGAAGGTTTTCATTTCAATGGCGTTGCTCTCCTTGCTGCCAAATGCCCCGTCTGTGGGCCGCTGGCGGAAGTAGTTGCCAAAGCGAGTGTGCCTCGGCATGGGCACCAGCTGGCCATGGTCCTTCTGATCGTTCTTCCAGTGGCTGGGGGATGTATTAGTGAAATCTGAGGTAGTTTGGAAATCAACACCAATTCCTAAGATGCAGTGATACATTTTAGGAGGAAAGTTTGCAGTACTACTAAGCTTCTTCCATGTCTGTGTATGGAAATGATACTTCCAGAGGTCATCACTAGGACTGGAATTTGAAATCCCTCCACCAAAAATCAGCATAGAGTCTTTGCAGACTATTGAAGCATGACCTACCGCTGGAGGAGGTCCTTGGCTAAATATAAGAGAAAGCAGCAGTTAAGAGGAGACCAACAAGAAACTTAACACTGATTTTAGCCTCCGTTTTCCTTTTGGCTCAGAAGAATGGCTGCTGAACAGCTGCATTGGGACACCAGAATTACACTGCTGACAGCTGCATCAACGCATTGCCAATAGCTCTTCTGAGCAAAGCCAACTGGAGCCCCAGGGATGGCAGCAGCACCATATCTTGATCTGAACAATTCCTACATCCACCAAAAGGGCACCACCTCCCCCTCCACCTGCGTGCAGTATCAAATGATAAGATAAATTCTGTCTTTCTCTGCTCATGTAGTATAACACATAAAATAGTTTACCTTGTTCTGATGTTGGACCAGCTGCTGCTTACAAAGTCCCACTTCCACAAGTCCTTCTGTTCACTCAGCCCCATCAGTCCTCCGAAGAGGTACATTCCAGTACGATAAACCACTGCGGAATGGCCATGCCGAGGTCCTGGACCAGTGCTGTGAGATGGGCTGGAAACGCACAACCACTTTCCTGTATCTGAAAGAAAATACTAATTTATAGATGGTTCAGATTTAGTTGAGTATTTGAGAAGGGATTTGTTTCAAGAAAAAAGTAACTATTCAATTGGAGAATAAAGGTTTCTGCTCTGAGCTTATTTCAGTATGAGTTAAAAGCTTAAATTCTGACACTGAAAAAGTGCATTTAAAAAAATCAGTTTTGAAATAAACTTTTAATGAAAATGTCAGATGCTATATGACAGATGCCATGGAAATTTTATTTACAGAGCAGTTTTTCCTACGGCTTTTTCAATTCATTAACTCTGACACAGAAAGATACTTTCCTGGCTGTAAGAGGGGAAAAATCAGTCAACAAAAACTTCATTAATGTCTGTGCTTATTCTCCCTGTGAGGGAATGAAGGATGAGATAAACCCATCATTTGTTTCAAAATAATGACAAAATGGCCACCAGATAACAAAAGTTATCCATTTAAGAAGTCTCTGGGAATCATCTGGTTTGCAACACCAGATTGGTGATGAATATGCTAATGAAAGCATCTCCTGAAAGGTTGGGCTCCCCACGGTCAGTCTGAGATTTGAGACTCAAAAGATGGCATTAACAGGCTGAAGTCAGGGTCTCTGCTGCTCCTGAAAGTTTTTAGTAATCCCTGAAGAATTTAGTGAATAATGAACAAAACATTATCCCTGATTTTCCTCTAAAACTGGCAAATACTGTAAAATTTCTTCCAGTGTAATAGTCTAATTTCAGCCAGGTATTAATTGAATTGACAGAATTCATAATTAAATGCTGCCAAACAGCAGCCAAAACTAATTTACAGCATTTCTACTGATAAGAATTTTCCTAATAGGGAAGGCCATGCTCTCCTGCAGCAGTTGTTGTTTTATACTGGTTCAAAACCTTATCCTAGTTTTTTAACTTACCAAAATGGAAAGTCCAAAATTCCTGCGAAATGCCTTTGATGCCGAAGTATCCCCCGAAGATATACATGCTGGAATGGTACACTACTGCACTGTGACCTTTTCTGTTAGCTGGCACCAAGCTCTAAAACAATTTAAGACAAAAGCCTGTTAAGTCATATCAGTAGCAATGTCAGTCTTGGAAATATACTTTTTTTTTTCCCCACAAATGACCCTGCAGTCCCAAACTTTCTCTTGACTCCTCCACCACAGGTAACAAGAGCAGTAACTGTGTCACATCTTAATAATTTTTTGTGTGTAATTTCAAGGTGTAGAAACATTTTGAGGACAAAGTTTCAGTAGCAAAAAATGAGTGATTCTTTACATGTAGTGATATAAAACCAATCTCAAAAGACCAAGACATAAACACTTCCACTCAGGTTTCAATTAGAAGTGGCAGCAAGTTGGTGAGTCCACGTGTTCAGACTGAAGAAATGAAAAATGCTGCAGCACTTCACATTCCAAAATGTATTAGTGTGACTGCCAATCTGTTTTCACAACCCTACTTTTAAAAGCACAGGCTTCACGTATGGTTGCAATATTCCATTTAAAATTAGTATTCTTGATAAGGATTTCAGAAAAACAGAAGCAGCAGCAGAGAAGAGGACTTAACTTCTCATATACGACTTAAAATTTAAGAGCAGTATTTTTAAACACTGTTTTGAAGAAGGAAAAAGCCTTAGTTATTGAAAGTGCAAAGAAATAAAGTATAGCCACATGTCTCTGAAGAGATGAGATTGGAACTGTTTGGGGGAACATATTTCAAAGCAATCTGTTTAATCAACAAAGCAACAGGCATTTGATTCACACATTCCCCACTTCCTGGCTCCTTACCTCCTTCTCTGCTGGTACGTTACGGCACTCTGTCCATCTTGTGGAATCTAGGGGATTGATTTAATAAAGCGCAGTTTAGTTCCTGGACCACAAGAGGACACTCCTCCAACAGTAATTTTTCAAATTACAGATCTAATTTTCAAGTAAGTCTCATCCTGGCGTTTTCTACTGATAAGGCTGAAGAAATCTGCTCCCTGCTAAGACAGCAGCACCAAGAGACTCGCAGGAGACACAGTTGGAATGATTTTCCTGTATCCTTATCTGATATTGAATCATAGAGGTACCATACTGTATTCCTGTTTCCTAAGGCTAAATTTCAGAATGCAGAAATAACCTGTGATTTTCAGCATTATCTGAACTTGCAGGACTCCCAGATTTCCTGATGAACATATGGCTTCTTCTACTTATCCTTAGGACAACAGCATTATTCTTTCTTGTTCTTTTTCATAGATCCCCTAAGGGTAGCACCCAAATAACAGTCAGAAATCACAGATTTGTGATCACCATGAAGGAGAGGAAATATCAGGTACCCAGCACCAGAGGAAGAATGAGAAAGCAGTGAAAGCTTGCATTCCTTAAAGCTATACTTGCCAAAGGATTTTAAATAATAACTATGAAAAAGCTAGACGCACAACACATTTTGAATAACTCATTCCCAATTTTCACTGATAAATAATGTGAGTAATAAGATGCTTTCTCCTTTAAGATATGTTCTATCTGAGGCTCTCTGTTTTTCCAGCAGGTATCTCAGACAAATGGTGGAAAACATAAATGAAGGATTGAAAAAAACCCATTGACTTAAGTTTACGTAGTGAAGTAGCAAAAGAAGCCAGGAAACTTAAATCTTGGTCTGGTCACAAGATTTACCAGGTCAAGAAGAGCTCAGTATCTCTCTCTTTTCTCCTCCATCTGACATCAAAATAAGCAGCCATTACTATACGCAGGATTTCCAAAGGGAGAACACAATCATGTATGACATTGCTATTAAATTCAAATGCTGCACTGCTTTTATTAGAATACACACTTAAGACATCCCAAATGTGTGTTCTTATGAGAAGAAAACCTGTGTTATAAAATGTTGATGGTAATTTCCCACCTTCTTATTTAATTATACTTGATTTTTCCTGCTCCAGCTTATGTGTTTCTTTAAAATTACAAAATGAGATATACTGCTTTCTTCCGTAATGAAACAAAGGGCTTGGTTTTTAAAATTCATGTAACATTAAAAAATTAAATACTATATGAATTATTGGGTTTTATGATCAAATTGTAAACTTCAGAAGGAGGCAGGAGGAATGGAAATTCTGAGACCTTAAAATACATAAAACTTTCACATTCAATTCTGTAATTGAAGTAAGAGGTGACTTTTTGATAGCTTAACAACCTAATTTTAGGGGGAAAATATGCACACAGTATTACACACATTACATCTTGTAAAGCTTGGGGAAAGGCTATGCTACAAGCAGCAGAAAACAGTTTGGTTCTTACTGTTTATTAGTATCTATGGACTTGGAATATCCCACGGAAAAAACTGGTTATTGTGTATCATACCAATGTCATATGTCCAGAGAGGAGGTTTTGCTTGTGTGAAAGCAGAATCCACCATCCCACCAAAAATATACAGGTTGCCCTGCAAAATGAAAAATATTTGTCACTGAAAATAATTTTAAAAACAATTCCTAAATGAAAAGGCTGCTATCACCAAAATATAATTAACAATAATGTGTATGATGATCTGTTAATAATTAAAGAGGCAATCCCAAAAAGCCACCAACTTTTAATTTTGTCTTTATTCTCTCCCAGTAGGAAACCCTGATGAATATTCTGCTGTTCTAACGGGGACAGCATTCCAGAACCACTTACTTCCTTGTCAGCCTGGGACAGCTTCAAGGATGTGGATCTGGAGCTCTCTGACTCATTGCTCAGGTAATATTAGATTTTGCATGTTTATAGAAATATTTCATTGCATTGCAGCTCCTGATATACTAAATTCTGTTTTCCCCTCAGAGACATGGCTGTAATTCTTATTTGCCTTCACTCCCCCGTCCCTCTTCTATGCAAGCTCTTAAGTGAATGTTTTTATGCCATAGCTGATCATGCAAATGAATTCAGAGCAACTGTTACAACTGTACAGCTAAGTCAAAGAATGTGCTGCCAAGGTCTTTATCTTGTATTACTGTTACATACTGAGAACTGACTGAGGAAATTACTGTCACTTTATTCAGAAAGATTCCAAAACACTGGTACAGCTACATCCAGAACTGCACCAACACAAAAATATTTTCTGGGTATAGTATTTCAGTACATAATAATCTATGGCATTTTATTGCATTGTATAGTAGGAAATAAAATGTGAGGATATGGATAATATAAATCTTGGTCTACTACCTTATAAGCCACCATTGAATGTTCTTCCAATTCTTCTGGGCCATCTCCTGAGCAATCCAGCATTTCCCATTCATTTTTTGCTATAAACCAAAGCTGAAGTTAAGTGGTGCCCTTGACATAAACATTTGAGAAAAGGTGAAAAGATGAGCTTTGAATGTGGCTGTGCTGCCAGTTCAATGAGGAAAATGAAGTGGTTTGTCATTTCCTCTCTGTTAGTTCAGAAGAAGTTCCCAAAAGTTAAATATATGCATTTTTCTATTTAGCAAACTTAAATGTAATAGAAATTGATGTTGTTACTGCTTGTATTTTAATTGTTATTACGTCAAAACTCAACAAGTCTATGATAATGAACTCCAGGAAAATTCTGGGTTATTTCAGAAACAACAACTGTACAAGTCAGACCACATATTAAGTCAAATAAAACAAAGGGTCATACTTGATAGTGCATTGTTAGTATAAACCTACAAGGTATTGTATTCATGTGTTGCCTTTGTGCTCTTTTACATGCATAAAATATTCCTGCACAAGAGAGTCAGGAAAGCTCTTTGATATCCCTTGCTAGAACCACGATATTTTAAATGACTCAGTATTTCTGGTCAAGAAAAAAAAAAAAAAAAAAACAAAAAAAAACCCAACAAAACAAAAGGAACTGAACTAAAATCTAAACTTTCTGAGACACTTGCAACAGGAACGAACACATACCATCTGCCCAATGAACAAAATGCAGTTTATCCATTATTTTTATGGAGATACTTTAAATGGGAATAATCTGATAACTGTGGAGTATCCCCAATTTCATGATGACTGGATGTAGAATCTCTAATCCTGACACACAGGTGAAGGGACCAACTCACCGATGTTGTAGCGCCAAAAATCCCTCAGACTGGTCATGTTCCGCCCTCCATGGAGATAAACAAACCCTCTGCAAACGACACAGGCGTGTTTATATCGATCGCAGGGACAGGGCTTCTGCTGGGGGGCAGATTTCCAGCCACAGTGTTCAGTTTTTCCTTTCATGCTGACAACTAGGATCTTATCCAAGGATCAACTTGTAAAGGGCAGCCATGTCAGAGGAGGTTCCCAAAACATCAGGGACAGGGCTTGAACCCTGTTTGGTCTGCAAAAAGACAAAAAGTAATTTAAAGGTTAAAAAAAAAAAAAAGAAAAAAGAAAGATAGAAAAAAAGAAAAGTCTCTGCCTTGCAATAAAATATTACCATGTTTTCTTTTCAGTCCCATCAAAAGCAACATGACAATTTTTTCCATGTGTGATAATACACTAACTTAAGTAAAGCATCTGAAATTCTGACTCTCAGAGTCTTATATCCGTGAGGCTGGGACAGGAATATTACTGGAGCTGAAAGTTTTCCAAAGAATATCAGTGAGCTGAAGAGATAAACTCCAACACCCTAGGTTTGTGATATGGTAGAAACGAAGGCTTGGTCTTTTTTTACTACTAAAATATTTAAAAAAAACATGTCCTTAAAAAAAATAATTGAAAGAGTGAATATTAGAGATAAAAGTAATGCATTAGCAGGTGTCCAGAATTTGTGTAGACTTTTATGTCTAAACCTGCTGAAATGAGGATGGATCTGGAAAAAATGACACTAGCCCTTCCCATGCCACAAGATGTCACTGTGTTCTGTGAAGACACAAATACCAGGAAAACATTCCTCTAATAATCTGCTTCAAAAGAGTGGCTATGATATATTTTAACGTAGATTATTTTACAAAGCAAACACACACAAAAAAAATCAGCATTAGAGCAAATACTGCGATTTGTGTTGGTAGTGTGTCTGAGGAGACACATGTCACCAAATGAGGTGACAAAGTCTCCCAGTTCCAAGACTCTTCCAGTGAAAGCCACATTCCAGCTGCATTGAGAACCTAGGATGGAAATAGATAGGTGAGAGTCTGTCAGTATGGACACATGGTTAACTCTTCAGTACTGCAAAGTAATGCCTGTTCTTCCACAGTTACAGTGTTTTCCATACTTAACTTCTCTGGTGTATGTAGGCATGTATTTAGAATCCCAGTGGATAAAGTCATAGATAAAGTCACAGCTCACCATAATGATCATGCAGCAAATCCATGCTTTTGATTGAAGACTATTTCCAGGGTAAATGTGAAAAACCTGTGCCTACTTGGCACAATTATTTCTAAATAAATTAATTTAAAAAAAACGCAAACAAGCAACACAGCAGAAATACCAAATTTGCCCTGGATATACAGCAGTAAAACCATTTACATCCACAGAGAACGTTCATGTCAGCTGCTGCCCATGGCCTTATAGAGCAAAGCAGTGACAAAGGCTGGAAATTTTCCCAGCAAATCCAGCAACGTCCAAGGAGGTAAAATGAAACCCTCTTCTTCTGATCTATATGCAAGTGTTTTTACTAGACACTCCACCACAGTGTGACTTCAGACATATGAACTGTGCCTTGAAGTTCATTGTGTAAAACTATATTTAGCCACACATATGCCAGGGAAGGCCAACATAAGCCCTGTTTGCCCTGTGTGTGTCTGATTTCAGGGAAAGGGGTGGAGAATACGAAGTATTTACATCTCCATCAAAAGTTGCTGTGTTATAAAAAAGAATGAGCAGTGTTCTCTTGGAGTCAAAGATGAATGAGCAGTTAAATACAAAAGAAAAAAGCTACAAAATATTTCTGTTCCGTAGAACAGTTTATATGTTTATACGTTCATAAACATGCTGAGTAACAGCTACATAACCCTTTATTTATTTTTCTATGTACTTCTATGATAACCCTTCCTTTTATTTTTCTCTTGGAATCCTGCATGTTTTCTCTTTCACTGCTGCACTGAAAGCAAGATTTTTATTTTACAGAGTTTTCAGTACTCTGCCTCTGTGCCAACATCCCTTGTTTGGAAGGGATTATATATCAAGCAGCACAACAGCATACCCCCTTCTTCAAATGTTTTCTCCTGTGTTCAAGTATTCCCTTGTTCCTGAAAGCCTGGATTTGTCCTAGGCAAATTCACAAGCTATCCTTCCCTCCATCCATAACAACGAGGCTCTCTGTTGTCCCTTCACACCACCTCCTTCCTTGAGGCTGTAGCAGATGAGTACTGGCAGATCAGCCCCAACATGACTGCCCCCATTTGCTGCTCCACCAGGTGTAGAAGCAAGGTGTGTATCCAAAACTCAGCCGCTCCAGTTCACAGCTGCCCTGTACAGTGGCCATTCCCACTTGGGAAGTAACTGTCAGCAAAGTGCCAACATAAAATCTGGGGAGAAAGAAGGAAGACCTATACACCACAGTCTACCTGCTTAAGTGGTAATTTATCTAACGGTAACTTCTAAGTCCAGGGCAAGTTGTACATAATTTGAGGAAAAACAAAGATTGCAGTAAAACAAGCTAATACAGAAGATAGTCATATTTCATATTAATATGAAATTAATGTATCTAAGTTCATTTATCATCCAATTTATCTCTGAAATTTATCATTTGTAAGACTGGAATGTATTCAGCAACAAAAAGATGCTGGAAATCTCTTGCAGCATTTTTTGGCAAGATTAACTACCCAATTTTTGTTATTTTTTTTTTATGCAAACCAGTATTGTAAGCTATTACAGTAAAAACTGAAGTCTATTCTTTGTATTTTCTCTGAAAGGATACAAAGATGGGCAGCGTTTACCAACGTGTGCATTTCTCATTTCCAGGGGAATTAGCAGCTATGAAGTAGTGACACATTACAGGTGTGTAAGTCCATAATGCTTTCTGGCATGAAATTGAAAAGGGAAAAGCAGCTGAAGTCATGAAACACAGATTCTCCCCCTAACTCTGCCAAGCTTCTGTGTAACCACAGCCAATTCATTTACTTCCACAGCTAAATGGGGACGGTCACTTCCTTAGTACAGCACTTCAAATTTGCTGATGTAGTGCTGTGTGACAGTGCCAAGGTATTACTATTATTGATATAATTTACTGTGAGAAAGGTGATAGGTTATTAATACTTTAGAAAAAAAGTAAAATCGGCTTGCCCCTTGAGGGATTTTTTCCTCAGCTATAAAGCATTATCCCTCTTCCTACATATTTCTGCCTGTTATTCTTCCTACAAACCTTGCCTTCTATTATACAAACATTCAGAGAAGAAGACAGCCCTGATTTCCTATAGTAGAATAGCAACAAAATCCTGTCTAGTTGTTTATCTACCCCAGCTGAACTCTGTGTAAGGCAGGAATGCTGGATGGGGTAACAAAAGGCCGATCGGGGATGAACTGAATGTGTGTCTCCTCCCAGTCGCACCTTTTGAGCATCGACTAACCCTTGGGAATCATGGCCATTTACTCTCAGCTGAATCATTCTTGGAAGCAGACCTACACTCACTAACACTCAGTTAACAAACTGCTTCATTTCAGAGTTGGGGGAAAAAACCCCACGAAGTCAATCATGAATCTTGCCTTTCATCACTGGTATTTTAAAATGCAAACGTGACTCCTGGACTGCCTTTCTATAGAACCAGGCTCACCAGAGTTCATCTACTGTCAGCCTTAACAGTGCCATTTCCAAAAGAAAACTGCAACTCTTCTGAGAACAATGTCACCAGGGATGTCCTCTGTGTCATGCAACACTGACCTCAGCTTCAACTTGCTACAAAATCAGTTATCCAATAGGAAGCTCTAACTTCAGCAGAATTAAAAAAAAAAAAATATACAAAAAGACAACTCAGAACATTTTTATCCAACTATTTTTTTTCCCCGAAACAGCTGTAGCACACACAAAAATGTCTGCTGCTCTCCAAACTCTTCTGCCATTTCATTCTAAAAATAGCTCCTGTGCAATCAACCCCAATTGTTAAAGGGCTAGAGGAGCTGTGAGTCGAGGGCCTGGAGAGATGCAATTAGCACAGTAACTATAGCACTGAGTGCGTATCAATTAATGGCGCCCCACTACTGTTTCATAATACAAATAATTCAGGAAATGTAGCAAGACAGGAATTACATCAGGAAATGTAGTTTATATGATCATTATATAATTATTTATATTTCTGTAAGATGTGGTTTCTCAGACAAATTATTTATTTATTTAAAGTATTGCTTAAATAGATCTTCATTAAAGCTTTTTTCTGCCTCAGCCCCCTGATTCATTTCCATCTGTTTTCAATATACTCAGAAAAGTTTCATTTTTAAAATGATTGAGCCTTTTGAAATATAATGAGATAAGAAACCACTCATATTGGGGTGGGGAAAAAAAAGGAAATCTTGTTCTGTTTTGGAGATTTTTTGTTAATGACCCAGTTTTCTGAACTCAAGCCTTGAACCTCTCCATGCATTTTCTTACTGGGCAACTTGATGTTTTACTGCTCTTCAAAAACAATAACAGATCTTCCTGTTTGTACTTATCATAGAAACCCTTCCTGTGGTGCTTTTATTGTAATGCTTGTTCTATTAGGACTGCCTGCATGAATGAGGAAACTTTGACTGAGGACTTGCAAGGTAGTTACAAAGTTTTAAAAACACACCCAACTTGTTTAGAATAGTTTAAAAAATCCAGGCTTTTTTTCAGTATATCATGTTTACTTGCAATGCTTTTACTATATGTGTGATAAATTTTAGTATCCTCAGGTTTGCTATTTTATTATTTCCTGAACTCAAAATGCTATGAACTGTGTCTAGGGTGGGGTTTTTTGGTTTGGGTTTGGTTTGTTGTTTTTTTTTTTTCAAAATACAGGAACTAATTTTCAGAGAAGCTCAGCTTTAGAGTTTCAATCTAGAAGTCTGAATGGCTCTAAGACCATAGGGTATCTGTAATATTTCTGTATTATTAGGATTCTGAATTGAAATAAGGGCCTGGCTTTGCTATGTGTTGTAAAAAAAATGCAGTTTCTACATGTCTGAGCTTTCAACTGAAGCATTGAAGACAAAAGGAAGGAGATGGAAAACAATATTGCTCCTTACAGGGAGAAGCTGAAGGACAAAAAGAGGGTTTGTAAAATAACAAATCAAAGCAGGGGACACGGCTCCATCCCGATTTCAGGGTTCAGAAGAATTACAGTTACTTTCAAGTAAAACAGTAACAACCCTGCTGTTTGTTTAGAGTGGAGATATTAAAAATTTACAGAAAAACTGTGAGGCATTTATGTTGAATAGCTCTAAGCTGAATTTTAAAGTTTAAGGTAGTATTCGCAAACATTATCTAGGGCTTCAAAATGCTTTTTGAAGTGAGCAGGTATTTTAAAGGGCGTGACTCTTCTGAAACAGCCACATATAATTACAGTTTCTATATGCAGTAAGCCTCTGTATGTAACTGCTACTTCTGGAGTCCTACCTAGGGCACGGGCATCTTCACTGCAAAACAGACAAGAGTATCACGGATCTCGCCCTGAGAAAAGCTCACTGCCTGTTTCTGGAGCTCTGCAGGCAAGGTACTGCATTTCTTTAATTCAGATCACATTAATATTACAGCTCTAATTTTAAAAGTTCATAATAGATTTATATGTTTGCATATCATTCCAAAATGAATTTTTGCAAATTGACATTGCTAATATATTGTCCTTTGGGTTTTTTCTAGAAGCTTTCACCCAGAAAAGAAAATCTTTTGCAGTCAGCAGTGCTGTGTAGCACTACTTCATCTCTACTACCAAGTGAGTTCTTTAGTATAATAAATTAACTTATTAAATAAAGAAGTATAAGTATATCCAGTTGTATGTTCTATGTGCTAAGGATATTTCTAATTTTTAATGAAACAAATACAAAAATACAAACTTGGAGCAATACAGTAAATATTTCATCTATTTCCCAAATATGGTGGAGGAGGTAGTAACTGGAAAAAAGAAATTCAATGTTTAAAATATTTCTGGGATTGTTACATTTTTATATACACCTCTAGTATATGAATCAGAAAATTACCTTTGCCACAGTATTGAAATATATTTTATGGTACAGACAAAAATAGATACATCTATACCACCTTAATTTCCTTAGTAACTTAAAATTTCAGTTGTTGGTGAGTTTGGTTTGTTTGTTTGGTTTGTTTCATTTTTTAGAATGAGGCTTTTTAATAAATAAAAATCAGTATATACAGTTTTGATTAATAGATCTCCTTAGGTAATCTGTTAATTATGATTTCCAGCACTGCAATAATCATTTGACTGCAATTCAATTTTGAATGAAGTTTCTGAGAAAGAGCTTCCCTAAATACACATCCATAGGTGGCAAAAGTATAGCATGTGATGGATATATAAATCCAGGGCACCAGCCATGCCTGATCAAAAGTTTATGCTCATAATCAAAGACTGTATGGGGGGGGGGGGTTTGGTCCTTATTAGAATATTTACTTCAGGAATCTAATCTGCTTTTCAGATCTTATTTAGGATCCTGTTTAGGATCCTCCATCCATAGGCAGAACTCAGTCTCTGTTGTGGTCTTGCCACATAGCTGGGATGGACACCCTGACTGTAAAGTGTTCCTGCAGGAAGACGGCTCTTCAGGAGTTACTGGAGACAAACAGGTGATTTTTCATGCTCTAGATATGACAGAGGGAGGAAATAGAGTTCCTGGTTCTCACATTTTAAGATAAAAGAAATGAGAAACTCCTGCCATGATCATAGTGCAGTCTCAAGATGTATTTGGCCTTTTACCCTTTCCTTGGAAGTAATTTGTCCTGTCACCACTGGAACAGGTCATTTCAATACAGGGGTCATCACCCCTTCCCCTGGAAATAGCAGTTTTCAATGTTCCTAGAAGGCATCATTTAGGGCTTTCACAAAAACTAACCAGCTGGGTTCTTTCAAGATCCAGTAGGCAGATGCCCTGGAGATTGAATGTAATAAATCTGTCCTTAGGTGTGACTGAATGCATCTTCTTGACAGCTTGTGACCTGCTGCTGAAACAACTTCAAAATACTTTATTTCCTAAGGGAGGCTCTACTCATAGTAATGCACAATATTTTCTAGGTTAGGAAGAAAGACTCTGGTTGACAAAAGGAATCAGTGGCTGCCCAGCCTGCCTTCTCTCCTCAGGCACAAATTAGGATATTAGAGTATATACTTGACAGCTGAGAGCATATCAGTGAAAAGCTATTATCTTCCATTAAAAGCAAAAAGTCTGCACTGAATTTTACTTATTTGTTCTTTCTATTCCCTGACTGAGGAAAAGAAGCATCTAATAAAACATTCACCCACACTTAAAACTTAATGCCACACTTCATGGAAGATAAACATTTGCGTTTTTCTTGTCCCTGAGACATTTTGCCCTTAGACAAACATGTATCAATGAGATAGAGAAGACATACAAGGCTATGAGAATAGCAGAAGCTGTAGCTTGAAGAAATATGAAGGAGGAAAGAGAGGGCATTTGGCAATAAGAATAATAAAATGTTCCAGCTGGCAAATATTAAAACATCCAGATATCATGTTAGAATCAGTATGAATTTAGATTACACTGTATGGGAGAAGTCATGAGAGACTTGTGTGAGAAAGACTCAGATGGCACAACTGGAATGACTGTCAG